AAGAAGATGATGTGCACTATGGTGGGATTTGCAATGGGAATTATATTCCTGATTATCGTGTCCATAAATCCTCCCAGTCACAGTCTTGCCCACATAATTTCTTTCAGAGATTACCACACTTTTCCAGATTGGCGTCCTGCAAGGGAATACTCTGATGAAGAGCTGGCATCACGTGTTGTGACCACGGACATACTTAACACGCCTCCACTTAAAACAATGAACCCAAAAATAGCTTTCATGTTTTTGAGTCCCGCTTCGCTACCTTTTGAGGAGTTGTGGGATAAGTTTTTCCAGGTAAGATTTCACATTTACTCTTTCTATTCCTATATGTTGGAATTTAGATTGTGCGGAAGGAAAAATTTGATATGATAGTCCGTGGTTTGAGTGTGTGCAAGTTTATATGTGTATGGTATAGTTGATGGGGAGGGGCAAGGTATTGTTGACCACAATTGTTGACCTATTTTACAAGATTGTTCTAGTCTAAGTTTTTGGCTTTTGTAAGCCATAATCTTTGACATCTATTTGGTAGTGTGCTGGCCTATTCCTCAAGCATAGCTGATTTTGTTTTGTGGCCTCCATTGCCGACATCCTCAAGCCTCAATCTCTGACATCTTCTCAATCTGAATTCCTCTTGAATGCTGCCCACGTAGTCTTCAAGATGTCATCTTCAACTTGGGCCATTCTTACTTTTTTTTTTTGCTGCTGCTTGCTTGCTTTCACACTTTGCTTCTCTCGTTGTTGAAGTCTTCTTTGACTTGCTTCAGCAGCTGGTGTAAACTTGTGGCTCTCATTCGGCTACTTCTTGATGAAGAAAATGTGTTTGTAGATTTGGTTGAAAATAGATCACCAATTTCCAACATTGTACTTGCTGGCATCTCGAGCCTTTGTACCATTAAAGATTGATAGAGTCTTTCTTTTGTGGCTCTGATAATCACTGCTTGCACACTATGGAATGAATAAGAGATGATTCCTGCAGGGATTATCGCTATTTGTTTCAGTGGATGCATTTAGTTTGTGCATTCTGAAGTCCTTTGAAGTCCCATCTGTGGAAAAGATATTTCTAAGTTTCTTGACCATCTAATGCTTGTCCCAGATATTTTTATCTTGTTTGATCAAAGAGTAACTTCCTTTGTTCTCATTATTCCACTCTTCTAGAAAAGTCTGATAAAACAGAAGATTACCTTTGCTGCAGGACTTTGCTTGCGGGTGCTATTCTTAATACACACAATTTTTGTAGAGCATAGTATACTTATGTATGAGCAGACATCGATGTAGTTGAAGAAAGAATAGTAGCTAAGCAGATGCATACACAATACCACTGCTGCTTAATTTTGTCTTTCTTGACTAACGATATCTTTGTCTTTGCTGTTAGGGTCACGAAGGAAGATTCACGGTTTATGTCCATGCATCTAAAGAAAAACCTATGCATGTGAGCCATTTCTTCCATGAACGAGACATTTGGAGCGACCAGGTTCAGTAACTTACTTTGCACTTTGGCACAATTGAAAGTTGTTTTGGTAGAGGCACCTTGTGTTTGTGGAGTGCAAGTTTTTTCATGAAAGCCAAAATCTGCTAATTAAGTTTTATGCAAAAGAAAGATAAACGAGGAAGAATTTGGTGGGTATGTGCCTAGTGCATTTTGGAGCTAATGGTCTCAAAACACACTAAATGCAATACCATTGAACTTTTTTATTTAAAAGAAAAATCCATGGGATTGTTACTGTGCAAAATTCCATTATGTAATTCTTTTTCTCCGGTTGAGCGCTTTAGCCAGATTATGAGAGATTCCCCTTTTAACGAGAGGGACATTTACCTATGCAGGTGGTGTGGGGAAAATTTTCCATGGTTGATGCTGAGAGACGGTTATTGGCAAACGCTCTTAAAGATGATGATAACCAACATTTTGTGTTACTCTCTGATAGGTAATGAGGCAAAAAAATTAAAATTTTCCTATCTCTTATAATGAAAAAAATTGAAGAAGCTTGCTTCTAAGTTCTGATTTCTAATCTTGTGGTGTTGCAGCTGTGTGCCATTGCATACTTTTGACTATGTGTACGATTATCTTATGCACACAAATATCAGCTACGTTGACTGGTAAGCACACATTGTTTTTTTGTATTGTATTACGCTTCCTACTTATTTTCTGTGCCTCGTGGCTGTACCTCTTTGGTTGCAACTGTTCTTTAAGTGAGAAGGCAAGGTGACTCGTTCTCAACTATTTTCTATTTCCCATGTAGCTTCTTGGATCCCGGTCGACATGGCAATGGCAGATACTCGGAGAAAATGCTACAGAAGTCAAGAAGAGTGATTTCCGGAAAGGTGCCCGGGTATGTCAAGAATTAGTGAGATGTTATGCATTTATATTGCTTTTCAGATGGTAGAAGTCTTGCAACATCTAAATTTGTTTTAGGACTCTCTACGTTGTCTTTTTTTTTGTCTTGCTGCAATGTGTTTTAGTGGTTTTAAACCACATATGTTGGCTTCTGAACTCAAGAGTTTTTCACACATATTTCGAATTAATTGCTGAGTTCTCTGCAGTGGTTCACAATGAAGCGGCAGCATGCTTTAATTCTTATGGCTGACAGTCTATATTACTCGAAATTCAGGGACCATTGTCAGGTGAATGTGCTTATTCAGTTGCTTTCAATCCTATTGCGTATCATCTTGTTATTATTGGGTTTGTGGATCATAGTTTTTGCCCCTATTGTGAACATCGCCTGCATGTATCCCATTAAGATATTTTGCTTTCGAAGAGTGTTGTTGTTCCGGTTTCTTTCGTTCTTCATTTTTTCATTCTGGACATTTCTTGGCCAAAATTCTCTGGACAGTTGACTTGTCAATTCATCACATCATATTTGTTTGGTCCAGTCGCTTTTAAGATATCTATCGTTGTAGCCATGATTCTTGAACATTCTGTGATATAGTAAGATGTTAATTAGACATTCTTTACACCTACAGCCAGGTTTGGATGGTAAAGATTGCATCGCCGATGACCATTACATCCCGACCTTTCTCAATGTAAGGATCCTCCTGTGTTACAACCTCGGTTTTTGATGTCATCTCACCAATCTCCAACTTGACAAGTTTCTTCCTGCACGTGTTCTCAGATGGTGGATCCTGGTGGAATTGCAACATGGTCGGTGACACATGTCGATTGGTCCGAGAGAAAATCGCACCCCAAATCCTACAGGGCTCAAGATGTCACATATGCGCTTCTGAAAAATATTATGGTATGCACAACAATTTACCATTGTTTGTACAAGATGACAATTTAACTATCATCAGACTTCAAAAAAGAAAAAAAAAACTATCACTCTGTGAAGTAGGAAACTGCCAACTGTGACTTCTCCTTTGTTTGTGTGAAACATAGTTATAATGTATGTAAATTACTGTTCCCATATTTCTGTCATGAGTTTGACCGTGCCTATATGTCATTTGTGCAGTCTATTGATGTGAGCGTACATGTGACGAGCGACAGTAAGGTATGCAATGTTTGTATCCGATCTCGAAATATTCATAAATAGGCTGAACGAAAATTTTGTTGCTTGGATTTCTGCAGCCTGAAGAGCAGATAAAACCTTGTTTGTGGAATGGGGTGAAGAGGCCATGTTACCTGTTTGCGAGGAAGTTCCACCCAGAAACATTGGACAATCTTTTGCATCTCTTCTCCAATTATACGACATTCTGAGCAGGTAAAACCTAGTTGGTGGTCCCATTCTGTTTATTTTATCCCCTCCAGAGGAAAAGCCTCATGTAGAAAAGCCTCTTTCCTCATATAGCTTAGTTAGGCCGCTATCATGATATGAACTGGGGATCTACACTTATTTGAAACTTGCATCAAGCAAGTTAAAGGAACAACCATCTTTGGGTTCGTGTTGAAACCATTTTCACGTCTCATTTGGATTACGTGCAGTCGAGCATATTCCTTATGTCAAATACATGGTGCAAAAGACGCCAGGGATGAAATAATTGAAGCCAAAACATTTACCTTCAAAATCACATAGGAATCTCCAGTGAAGAATTTTCCGTGAGATGATTGAGGAACCGGACTACGAATGGTTAAGGAGAATCCTACATGAACCCTTAGATGGTAATCTGAATAGAAACAAAGAACATAGCGAAGGGTAGAGCCATTACAGAAGCTCTGTCTGCCAATATACTGTCATTTTGAATTGCAAATAGATGCACCAGAGAAATTGCAAGATGCCTCCTCATATTGGTAGTTTTTTGGCAAAGCATTGTAATAAGCAAACCCACCAACTATTCAGACAGAACGAGGATACGCCTTTTGTCCAGCTCCCTGGAAAGCTGGAACCAAGTGTATCATGGAAACAGACATGTTTTCTTTTCTCTGCAGCTCTAATAATATGTCTGCTGCTAGTTTGCTTAAATTAAGCAAGAGGTACCTGCAACATCGTTACATTTTTTGCACTAGTCAAATGACATGAGATGAAATTGACAACAACATATTCAGATCACATTTTCCAACATATTTAAAGCTATTTTTGAGCAGATATGAAATAGTGCACTACATATGCATAAATATAAAACGGGTTTTTTGTTTCTTCTCCATCTTCATTTTCTTTATGACGTGTTGATCATACAATCCGTTGCATAGACGCAACTGATGAGGTTTCGCATACCATTCAGCCTATTCATATATTATTTTCTTCAAAAATATATCCACAGCAAATTTCACAACATAAAATAACCGAAGATTAACCTATCTAAGGTGAGCTTTCTGGTAGTGAGAATAAAATCAAAATTACGACCATAGTATGTAGGTTCTACATTTATTATTCCCTTTCTTTTAACTCTCTTATTTTTATCTAGCTGATTATCATGCATGCTAAATAACCCTTGTCCTTCTCTTTGGGCACCCATTGACAGTGAACGCTCTAAATCAAGCAAGGTTAGAAGCAAATGTGAGGGTCTATGAGGAGATAAACCATCACAAGATATGGCCAAGTCTTTATGCAATCGCTTCTCGGTTCTTACTCCTATTGTCCTTCTTGAAATTCGTCTACCATCCATTCCAATGGCTGGCTCTCGGCGCAGTTGCAGCCAGCATACTTCTGGTGATTCTGAAAGGCTTCCCGGCTCTCCGGAACTTTCCAGATCGACATCAACATCCTTGTTTTGGTCGCGGGTGAGTAGATATGCATACCACAGCTAACCTCTTTACTGGATGTTGCTTGTAGAGTCAGACTGCTGTATCGAGTACCTAGGAAATGGAAGCGAAATACATAAACTAACCAAATAATTACCAAAAAGATTTTTTTTTTCTCCAAGAAGTATTGTTGTCGTAGGTACGATTCCCGGGAAGTCATTGTCTGCGTGATTGCTCATGAGAACTACATGAAAAACTTAATGAAAGTAATAAGCATTTGCATCGTTTAGCTTACGCAGCCATATTGGTTTGCTCTTTATAGTTGTCGTTATGACTGTAGGAATATTCATTTTAATTGATTAACCTATGAAAATTTCATCATGTGAATGAGTAACCACTAGCATACTGGGCCGGCTAGAAGCCAAGTGAGATACGAAAGTATATTTCACTCCCTACGCAACCAAAGATCTAAGTACAGAACTCGATTACACTAGCAAGGTCAGGCCCTAATTTGAAACTGACATTGCCACTATAGGCTCTTTTTCTGAAACAAAATCCACTTCAGGTTCTTATTTGAAAAAATGAGGACACTTTAAGTTCATATTTGGAATTTTCCCTAGAGCTCGTCACTCACATTGGCATAGGGTTTCTTATGAGCAACCTGAGTCTAAAACCTTGGGTGAACCCCAGAGGTTTCAAAGAAACAAGAATATTTCTCCTTATTTACTATTAAGGGTGCATTTGTTTGGGGGAGAACTCCATAATAAAGGAAAATGTTTTCAAAAAAATCATTTTCCACAAAAAATGGTTAGTTTATTTTGTTTGTTGATATGTAAATGAAAACGTTTTCTCATGTTCGGATTTTATATGAAAAATGATTTTCAATCTCATAAATAACATTTCAATCTCATTTCACCCTCCGGCTAGCCATGACTTGCCTCCCCAATCAATCAGGGAAAGAGAAGAACAATTTCGGATAGTGTTTTGACTTTTTTAGATTTAGGAATTCATTTTTCTAATTTTATGCATGAATATTTTCGTTGATCGAAAAGTGTTTTCGATTGACTAATCATTTTCGGCGAAAAGTGCGGAAAACTAATTTTCGAAAAACACTTTCACTCAATAAACCCACCCTAAATGTCAATTCAAGTATCTCAAGGCCAAAGAGGATCATAATCAGAAGTCAGGTCCCCCACCAAGCATGACCAAATTATTGTTTGCAACGGCAATACCATGTCACGTTCAAAAAACAGAGAACAGTTTAGCGCTAAAATAATAATAATAAAAAAAACGACACCATAACAAAACAACTATTACTTAAATCGTCACCAAATGAACCTGCAATCAACCGTCACACAGTTCACTATTTCACTATTCTCTGCCCACATCTGTCTGCACACAGACAAGTTTCTCTTTTGAAGATGCGGATACATTCCTCAACCAATGAGTCAATCAATGAATTTATTTCATAAATCTAAGTCTTATTTTCCTCACTACCGGACTATTTTTTACATACAGACATAGAATCTCATCAAATCTCAGCATGAACATATCAACTACAAATGCTTCTCGGCCAAATCCAAATCCAAAGCATACGAGCGTTAATGTCCATAAGGATGGATCCAATTTCATTCAGATTTCTCTCGGCCTAGTTCAGCAATATTCAAATTCAAGCTCTTCTCATATAAACATTGAAAATATGTAATGAACTAAGACCTTCGCAAATAAACTTTGGAGTGAGCAATTACCGGATTTGCTTCTAATGAGGACAAACATAAATCGACTACAGCTTACGTAATAGAAATAGACAAATGAAGCCAGCGAAGACATTACACTCAATCAAATCTAGACTCGGGCGTTCATTGATGCAATTCAGGGATTTTGTAGAGTCTCCCGGTTAAACATAAATCTGAACTACAATTGGGGTAATCAAGGCAAATCCAGGCCATTGATCCAAGCAAATTCAGAGAATTACAATTGCAAACGACAACACAAGGTGAACACTAAATGCTGGAGCAGGAACACTAAACATCAAACAAAATTAAGAATGAGTATGCGCAATAGGTGCTGTCAAGAGCATCGATCATGACCAAGTCATGATCGCAAACAAATCAAGCACAAAAACGCTGAGAATTTAAGCCAGCGGATGAGAAAGGAACAAGTTGAGAGCACTTGGAGCATCGATCATGACCGCAATAGGTGCTGTCAAGAGCATCGAGCATGACCGGAAGACAGGGCAGAGAAGAGAGGAGGCTTCCAAAGCGGTTGTGGAAATGGCGAGTGACCGGCAGTGAAGGCAGTGGTTGCTGGCGGACTGAAAGGCAATCAAGAGGAGTAAAGAAGCCACTGCAAATAAGGGTAAAAGACTGAGAACAGCGGTATCGACTGAATCGAAACTTAGCTTTTAATCCTTTTGTACGCAATTGAATGATACGAAAGCTTGAATCGAAGTTCAATGAAGTTGTGACCATAGAGAAGGTAACGTGAAAAAGAGCGAGTTGATCTCGATTCTAGAGGAAGAAGCGTTCTCATTGTCCGTATGACGTGCTCAGCGTCCAAGCGGAAGTCTTTAGTTGGCGCTGGCATCTTGGATCCGGAGAGACTGACTGAGAATTCATATTCCATCGTTCTCTAGAATAGCTTCTTTGGAGAAATGGCTCTCAAAGTAACTCTTTCTTTCACAAAAAAGTCATTCATGTCCCCTCTTTTTTTTTACTCAAGAAAATACCGAATACATCAGGTGCATAATTTTTAATCACGTGTGATCATACAAGTGATTGGAGAGCACTGCAGTCAATCCTTTGGAAGAAAATCTTGCCCTGTCTGATGTCATACCCTATATTATAGGACTGTTGTGCCAGCACTCCAATAATGGATAAGCCGTTCCTATTGGGTGATGACTTACAGATGGCCATGCACAAGACGTCCGCCGTTAACTGGAAAAACATGCTGTTGGTGTCTAAGCCGAGTTGTGCGCCGCCCGAGAATTGCAAGGTGACGACGGGGAATCCCGTCAAATCTCTCTCTACGCTCCCTGCGTAGCAAAAGAACTGCGGATGACTCACCCTGTTCAGCTTTCCCGCCATCAAACTCTCGACCTCATTTTGCAACGGAACGTACCCCTCTTCCTTCAGGAACGTGAACGTGGTTCCTGAGTCTATAAATACTCCTCCTTGACCCATAAGCCCTCTTTTGAATACCAAGGGGTCGATCTGTAGCTTCTTCTCTCCGACGCTAACACCTTCGAGGTCCAAATAGTATAAACCCCTGTAAGTCTCTAGGGTCGTAGAATCGCCTTCCATGATTGCCCCGGCTCCGAAGCTGAGTTGATTGTATTGATACTGTGGGTCGTTTATGTTGCCGATGCAGTAGGAAAATTTGGAGCCAAATTGTTTAACCAGATTTGGCAAATTACCATCACCAATGCCTAGTCCTAATAACCCGCTTTCTTGCCCTTCCGTAGTGTCTTTATTCACGTGGCCGCATCCGAGCACCTGAATCGGCACCTTTACCGTGCCCTCGTCGGATGTCTCAAAGGTCGCTTGTTCGGAGGCGAGGTTACCGGCTGTGGTGGTTGTGTCAAAATACGACCTCTTGTAAATGCAATACTCATTATTAGGATCGCACTTGTCACCAGATAGTACACAAGCGATGGAACGGCAACGAATATTGGAGTACGTCGACGATTTGGCAGGATCGAAAAGAGGAGGAGATTGTTTGAAGCAAGTACTGCAGGGCAGGCACTGAATCCAAAGGAGGTCGCTTCCCGTGTCAATATGCACGAGTTGCGGGACTGGCGGAGTACCGATGGATATATTGGCGAGGAACCCATCGGCGCCATTGGCTGGGATGAGACGGGCACGAAAGTCGACTTTATTTGGAATAGCGATTATTTTGCTCAAGAAGCGGATGCGGGCGAGCGAACTGTTAATGGCACGTTCAGCTCGCTCGGAGATGGTGGCCTTTGGATTGTAATATGGAGATTGAATAGAATCGTGGTGGATGAGCTTGATGGCTAATCCCCAAGGTTCAAAGGGGGTGGTCTTGGACGAAGCGACATTAGCCGGGTACGACGAAACGATATTGATAATGCAGATTATAAGAAAAAAGACATAAGATGATGTCACTGTAGTAGCCATTAGCACAATCCAATTTTCTTCGAATGATTTTTGCTGTCCTTCTCTTATATAATTGTACTTCTTGGTATTGCAATTAATGCATGGATTTTGCTTGTGACGAAATTTTGGATATGGCCACATTATTTGCGGGTATATAACTCATCTGAGATAAATGCACCTGGATTTACTTTCTCAGTCGCATAAATATGAGATTATCTCCCTAAACAAGTCTTGGGTGCGGCTAGCAGACAGTGTAACGGTCAAAGGCCAGCCCCAAAAAGTTTTTAAGGTAATTGATTTTAATGCTTCACTCAAAGGTTTTTTTTTTTATGTATTATGCGGTGACGGAGGGATTGTACCATTCGAGCCACTAGACAATGGGGGCATACTTGCCCGACTGCCATCATATTACAAGCTCATATTGAGAGACAAAATCATGAGAAGGCCCACAAAATCAATTTTCTTGAATATGAAGAAAGGAAAAATGTTGAGTATGTCTTAAATTCTTTATGGGCTTGGGCTAACATTAGGGCTTGAGAACAATATAAATATTATTTTTCTCAAGTTATTAGATTAAGAAGTTGAGACATAAAGAGTCTTTAGTTTTTGAGCCACCTTTTATAATCATCGAATTTATATAGTAGATTTTGCTTCTACTCTCCCCGTGGTTTTTCCCGCAAGGGTTTTTCCCGTAAATCTGTGTGTTCTTTATTCTTCTTAGTTTTAATTTCGTTATAGTTTCCGCATCAGTTATAATAAAAAAAAAATTAGATACCGAAATATAAATAATTACAAGTAGAAAAATATCGTCACTTACGAAAAAGAAATCGTTATTGTCATTATATAGATCTATTAAATTTAAAAAATGAAAAAACACTTGAAACGTTGGCTTTGCAACTAACAACGAAATCATTGCATAATGAAATGGCTTCTCATTCCTTTCGACGACAATGAATGCCTCTTACTTTCTTGCAATCAAAGAAGCAGAAATAAAGGAACAAAGTACAAAGAAGCAGTTATGACTTATTCGATTACAAAATCCTACAATAATTGGAAGTTCAAAGTATACAAGATAATTACATTCATATTTTTTTGGGTTGTTAAGTTTTTTTATTATTTGGGAACAATATCCACCTAATCTTTTTCTTTGGCCAGAGAATAATATTCATTATTTTAAAAGTTGCAACTGAGTTCTTCATATATTTCTTATTGTTTAAATATTATCACTTTGATTTGTTTCTTTAAATAAGACAAGAAAATCGCTATCTTCTTATGGCTTTTTTTTTATATGGAAAATGCATTTTTATATATAAAATAGGAAACGTGTTAACATTTCACCAGTCTCCCATTTTCAAGATGGAAAATGCTTGGCTGACATTTGACCGTATCTTTTCCATGCTAATAGCACCGTTAACTAAGTATTATTAAAAAATCTTTGTATTTATAATTTAAGTAACTAGCTCAATGAGGAAATTTAGAAATTTGTTTTCCTTTTTTTTTCTCTAATTTCCTTTTTTTATTGTCAAAGTTGGTCTATTTCTTGAGACTTGAATTTTGTCAATCCATTTAATTGTTCATTGCATAGAAAATTATGGACCAACTTCGACCCCTGAATAATATTTTTAGGAGCATTCAGCATATAAATAAATTCATTGCATTTTAATCGGATCGGCGGCAAATGGTTTTGAACCTAAATGGATTGGACTGAGCCACGGGAGATGGCAATTTCATAGGACCGCAATGGCCAAATTGAGGGGCCTCATTGAGCTTCATTGAGTCTAATTTAGCCCATTAGAGTTTAATTGATAAGATGCCTTATGTCATTAGAGCCCTCACTTTATTAAGGCCTAAATTAAGCCCGGCTAATTGGGAAGAAACCTAGGATTTCACTATATAAAGACATGAGGTCTCACAATTCAAGGGGTCGGCAATTGTCTATAACTTAGAACACAGCATAAAGAAGAAAGCAAGAGAGAACACACTTGAGAGGAATCGGCCACAATCGAAAAAGAGAGTGAGGGAGAAAAACACATTCGGAATTGAAAAGATCTTTTAGAGAGAGAGAGCACACAATAGAGTGCGGCAATACACAAAGTCGGCAAGAAAAGAAAAAGGGTTGAGAGCCATGAGTGAATGAGCGCGCCCCAACAATCCAGGTAATTTTTTGCAGGTTCCTCGGCCAAACCTTGTAGCCGTCCTGACGCCCCCAGTCCAGATCACAATCCCGGCCTGTCGTCCTAAAGCTTCGTCACGCCCAGCACTGCCTCGCAGCCGTTGCATCGGACACATGAGCCATACCACGTCGCTCCTTTGCTGCCTCTGCACAATTGGTCCTGTCTTGCCGCCACACCACAAGATCCGACGAATCTCAGATGCTCGAAGCAGCCACGTTTAGTTCTTCTCCCTTGCAGGTTTTGATGTCTTCTAGCCCAGCGATCTGAACATTCCTGCCTTATCTCACCGAAAACGCCCTGGCGGTTCATTCATCTCGGTCAAGCATTGCGGCAGGGGTCAAAATTCTTGAGCATGCAACGTTGGTTTCTAAGGGAGTAAGAAGAGCACAAACCGGAGGGAAAGTCTCGCATTCGCTCACTAAGATTGCTCTGTCAATCTCATTTGCGGGAACAAGTCCCTTTGCATCCGGGTCCTTGTTTGAACTGCGGCGACCTCACTGCGACAAGCTACTTGCCGAGCCGTCCACCGGCAAGACACCCCACACCCCCTCACCATTGGCCGCCAAGCCCCTTTACTGCCAGTAACTCAAGCTAGTTATTAACTAACTAATTTGAAAAAAAGAAAGTGAGTCACTCTAATAAAAGTTTGTAATATCCGATAAAAGTTGGTGAATTTAAATAATTGGTGAAAATTGTAAAGATAAGTTTGTAAATAATAAGAAAGTTGAAAAAAATGTCTCCAACTTACTCAAACGAGAGTCGTTAACTTAATAACTTAATAGTATATCGTAATTTAATGAGAGAAAAGTTGGCGAGTCACTATGCTTTAGGTCAGTAATCTTAAAAAGAATTCTTATATATATGGGGTTGCTAACCAAGGTACTAAAAAATTAACAAATAAACATTGATAGGTAACTCGTGTGAGAGTTGATAACCCAAAACTATGTGAAAATTTATCTAGATAAAAGTTTGTAAATCGCTCTAATTTAGATTGATAATTTCACATAAAATTCAGTAAATTTGACGTGTTGGTAAGTTGTGCTACTGGTGAGCATGGTCCGGGTTAGGCCGGTCCAGCACCTAACCCAAGGACCAACCCGCACAGTGTTGGTCCCCAATGTTTGGGATCAAGGACCGACCCTGTTGAGCCTGGAACCGAGACCGGACCGATCCTATGGGTCTAGTCCGATTTCAGGGTCAACCCGGGACCAACCGATTATCTTTTTGTTTCATTTTCTGTATTCCTTGAAATGACAAATATACTATTTCAAATTACATATCCATCAACAATACGACATTAAGCAACCAAACAATGAATACCGGTACATATCAACATAAATATAAGATAAGTTAACAACATAAATTTCACACTTGCTAAAAGCAACAAACCATTCGACCCAAAAAAAAAAGCAACAAACCATAAAAACGAACACGTGAAATATAATTAAACCATAAGAAGTTCAAAATACGTAATATAAATAATGAATTATACAACTTCATATCTTGTTCATTCTTAAATGCTTGCTTCCACTTCCAAACACCTTAAAAAAAAACAAATAACACACTTATATTATCAACAAAGTATGTTTGTCCAGTTGTTCTACGCTCCTGAGGCGAGCGGCAGGGCAAGTGAACAGAGACGAGTGGTGAGCCAAGGAGCGGCGAGCGAGGCGAGAGGTCGAGGCGAGCGAGCAAAGCGAGGCAAGCGAAGAGGGTTTCTTATTTTATTTTTTTTGTCGAATTAGGATTGGTTTCTTTCTACTTTCTAATTTACACGGCAAATTGAACTGCATAAAAAAGAAGAAAATAGAGAAGGAGGCGCTAGAGTTTAAAGTAGATAAAAGCATATATTATATAACATATAAATATATATTATGTATAATATATACAAGATTGGTTCGGGTTGGACCAATCCTAAATTCCCAGGACCGAGGACCAATCCGCACAGTACAAATTCAAGGGTCCAAGGACCAAGGACCAACCCAGTCCCCTTGGGAACTTGACTAGGACCGGTAGGGTTGGGTCGGTCTAGGATTGACCCTGGACCGATGCTGACCCCTAAGTTGTGCAAACAAAAGTTGGTAAGTTAGTACAAAAAAATTGAACTTTGCAAACTATTAAAAAGAATTTGTAGTTTCATGAAGTGTTGATACCTTAACGGCAAATCACTCGGAAAAAAGTGATGAGCCACTTTATACAACAGTTTCTTGGCACTTATCAAATACTTATTGAAATTTACCCATTGGGTAAAAATCCACAGTAAGGGTACGGAACAATAGAATTCTGCTTAAAATTTTGGCTGATTGAAGATCCTCTTAGATTTCAAAGGGGCATCTCTTTCTTTCAAGTACAATGTTCTAATTCTTGTTATGCATCTTCAAGTTAGACAAATGAGAACCATAACTTTAACATGAGTTATGTTGCCATATTTTCGGCGTTCTAAACAAGGTTGTTTCGCGCCCACAAATCGGTTTCCCCAACACAAATGTTTGTTGAAATTATCAATCTTCATTTGGTTACTTACCAACTTTATTCGGGATAAATAACCCAACAGAAAAGTTGGTAAATTAAAAAAAATCACATAAGCATTAATAATTAACTTAATGAGAGGTAGTAAAAAAATAGTTGATAACTTAATAGGAATAAAGCTGATAAATCGCTTAAATTGAAATTAGTAATACTTTAAGGTGTAATTATAAAATTTAATTAAAAGTTTGTCAAAGATTAAAAAAAATTGATAATCAAAAGAAAAAATGAAGTTGGCAAGTAACTCAAAAGAAAGTTGGTAACTCAAGCTAGTTAGTAATCAATTAATAAAAAAAAGATAGTAAGTTACTCTAATTAAGG